GACTTGATGATCTGCTCAGGTCCCTTCCGACCCTACTATCTATGAAACCACAAGCACCCTGTCCAAATTCATGGATGACACTAAAATATGGAGTGAAGCTAACACCCTAGAGAGGAAGAACCAGATCCAGGCCAACCTCGACAGGTTGGGGAAGTGGGCATACAGCAACAGGATGCAATTCAATAAGGACAAGTGCAAGGTGCTTCATCTAGGGAGGAAGAACTGCCATCATATCTATAGGCTGGGGGACGACCTTCTCAGCACCAGTGAGGCAGAAAGAGATCTTGGAGTCACTGTTGACTCCAGGATGAACATGAGTCGTCAATGTGATGAAGTAGTCTGCAGAGCCAATCGCACCTTGTCGTGCACCCATAGGTGCTTCACAAACAGGTTCAGGGAAGCGATTATCCCTCTCTACACGGCACTGGTCAGGCCGCAGCTGGAGTACTGCGTCCAGTTCTGGACGCTGCAGTTCAAGCAGGATGCAGACAACCTGGAGAGGGTCCAAAGAAGAGCCACTCATCTGACTGGAGGCCTGCAGGAAAGGCCCTACAAGGAAAGACTAAGAGAACCTTAAACTCTTCAGCCAAGACCAAGAGAAGGCTGAGAGGAGACCTTGTGGCAGCATACAAATTCATAAGGGGAGAGCAACATGAAGTAGGCGATGATCTGTTCACCAGGGCACCCCCTGGAATGACAAGGAACAATGGCCATAAGCTTTGGAGAGTAGCTTTAGACTGGACATTACAAAAAAGTTCTTCATGGTCAGGGCTGCCAGGATCTGGAATGGACTTCCAAGGGAGGTGGTGCCTGCCCCATCCTTGGTGATGTTCAAGAGGAGACTGGACAGGTACCTGGCTGGGATCACATGATCCCAGGTTTGGTAACCCTTTTCTTGCCTGCCAGGGCAGGGGGGGTCTGACTAGCTGGCCCACCAAGGTCCCTTCCGACCCTGGAATCTATGAATCTGGGCGTGAAGCAGCTGATAGAGCACATGAAGAGAACAACACGCTGGACCCTGCTGATGCTGTATTTGCTGTTGGTCTTTGCTATTTAGACAACTGCCAACAGAAATCCTGCCTTGTGCTTCAATGACAGATTGTCTTTCAGGTCCAAAATGCTTTAAGATTTCGGCAAGTTTTTCCAGGCTCATCTGGAAAGCCGAAGCCCAGCAGTAAGAACACCAGTGGTTATACCTCATTTAGAAAAGGCTGTTCGTAAGTGGGTGAGGTGCAGGGAGAAGTGCTAGAAGGTGAGGTGCAGTTCCTCTTTACCGGGGAAGGAGTCCAACTCGAGGGCATTTCCAGGATGGTAGCAGCACATGCCCAAAAGTGAAGACATTGATTCCAGCCACATTGTGACTGACAGACACTTGCTTTCTCCTGTCCATACTGAGATTACAGCTGATGAACCCTGACCTTCCACCAGCATGATGATATGCCAGGGGTTTGCACATACACACACAGATTAGACATTTACTCCACTTGGGTCAAGGCTCTGGATCAGTATCCCCTCTTCCAAACAGCTCTACTCTCTTCGTTAACAGACACTAGAAACCAGATGTGAAGAGCGGCTCCACGCCTGCCTGGTGTCAAGAGATAAAGGATGTGAAGAAGTACTTACAGTTTGCCCAGCTGCTTTCCTCTGCATTCCCCACTGACCACAACATCTTCTATCCTGCCTCTCTGTGGGAACAGGAGTGTGAGTTTAGTTTAATACAGGTCCCAAGTCAAGTTTCAGAAAGAACAGACAAATGAATCTCTTCTCGCATCAGTTAACTATTTTGGCAAGTACTCAGAGAAGAGAGATCCTAAATTGCCTTTAAACTGCCTCAGGAGAACAGTTCGATCTAATTTTGCTTAATTTGTCAGTTAATGGCTAAAAACTTTTCTAAGTACAATTAGCTTAATAGGAATACTTCTGGCATTGCAGGTTGCAATAATACGTACCTTTGCACACGAATGAGTGAATTTATGCTCTATAACCAGTGTTGCTGTAGCAACAATCTGCCCTAGATTTGTATCTTCCACGACAGTAATGTAGTAATCTCCAGATCTCTTCATGTGTTCAAAGGTTTCTGTGGAAACAGGATAGCAAAATAGGCATGTGCCAGGGTCCTCTGACTGAACAGCTGTCAGTTTTAATGCTTAAAACCCAATTTGAAGGATGAATTCCAGCTCAGAGCACTGCAGAATTCAACACCGCCGTCCAAAAAGGTGACTGAGACTTTCGAAAAATGACAAGTAACACAATCCCAGCATCAAAAACCATCAACCTCAAATTAGTATGAGAAGCGTGCACAGTGCTGGGGCAAAGCAGGAAACAACTTCCCCAGGGTTTTAGCTGCAGAAGAGCTGCCCCTCTAGAACCAACGGGTCAATGGGCAGGCCCGTGAAACAAACTCATCAGCTCAAGAGGAGCAAAAGCAAGCCCCAGTTTTGGAACGTGAGCAGTAATGACCACAACGATGTGCCATCTTCCTCCAACTGGAAACATCTAGTCATCAGAGAAGTTCCCACTTTGCCAACCCTGCAGTCCCCTGGGACAGACAAATCAGTGTCACAGTGGCCGTGAATTTTGCAAGTCACCCTCCAAAATGTTGAAATCTGTTTGGAGAGAGCTGGCTCAACCAACCCAGCTGACACTGTCCAGCCAGACCTCAGGTACAGAAGTCAAGGGGAGCACATTTGCTGTCCACATCAGTATCTTCCTCTTCCCAGCCATCCCTTCTAAAACGCCAAGAAACAGCGATGTACTCACTGATAAACTGCTCCGGGCTGACCACTCCTGTTTCCGTCAGCTGACCCAGAACCTTAAAAAATCCTAGAGGAGGAAAGAAAGGAAGGTATGCAATTAGCACCTCACTCCAGCATTTCCGGTGCAAACTTAAATCCTACAGGCTTAAGTGCCCAACCGATTAAACAAGAACTGTACATATTTGGCCAGGGAGTTGCACCCATAATAAAAGGGAATAAGGAGATACTCGCAGGATCATGGGATTTTCCCTGATCACTTTGATTTCCCACCACACAAAAACAGCATAACTATGTTCCACACAGAACGATGCTTCAGTACTGCACCGTGACTGATGAGAAGGGGACACGACGTCTCCGTACGTCACTGCATTCAAGTACATATTGAAGCACACACGTGCTGGGTGTGTGTTACTAAATTTTTAAGTGAACTTCAAATCTGCACCAGAAGCAAGGCAAATGCTTAGCATAATGAATTAAAAGCAAAACACAGCTTGATGGAAGATGAGGAGGTATGTGAATTAGAGCAAAGACAATCTAACGCCAAGTAACTGATTCACATTTTTATTGACTAGCTAAATAACTTAACTAATGAGCTGTCTTTTCGAGTCCAATTTTCCCTATTTCAACCTAAAACTTTTTCCACGTCACGTAATGCACAGCAGGGAACAACGCTCATCCACAACAGTCATTCAGCAGTAGGAAACAGAACAGGACTCTACCTCTATTTAAATCAGCAGTGCAGAGAGGTCTCATAACTAATCCGTCCCCTGGATCTAATGGAGAAATGGCAGGAGAAAACATTGCAGTGTTCTTGCTCCAGTCAAGCTCGTGAAGGATATTCGGGTCAAACATCGGCGTATCATCAGGCATCAAAGCTGTGACAGGCATCATGGCTGCAATGGTTGCAACAGGAGTACTGAAACAGAAATGTGCGCTCGGTAAGAAACACCGTTGGGATGGACTCAGGGTATATACCTTGCATGCCTGCTAACTGCACAGTAACAGGAGGTTTCCTCTCCAATGCAGGGAAAGGTTAATGAAATCTCAATTTGTATTTATTTCATCAGCAGCTGCACTATTTAAACTAGAGCCTGCCAGGATTTGGGGTTAAACAAACATGAAAAGCATACACTCTGAGGTTCTGTAATGCCTAAGTCCACTGAACAGCAACATGATTTTTGTGCCAAGGCAAAATGATCAATTTTTATATGGAATAAAGGCAACTGGAGTAGATTTTGTATGGGATGCATAGCTAGGGAACTAGAGGTACCTACTTCAAAGAGGCTCCAGCACCCCGAAAAAATGGTGTCACTGGCTCTCGAAGCTGTACAGACAGTAGTCTGGCTAAAGAGACATCTCTGCTTCTTTGGGCAATCTACTTTTTATGGAGTAGCATTTGATCTGGCTGTGCAATCTAACTTGTGAATTTACAAAAGCAAACACAGTCTCTACCAGGAGTAACCCTCACTGCCTCTTTAAACAGATAAAGTAAATCTATCAAGGTTACAGTGTACCAACCAACCCACCACTGAAAAAGTAATGCAAAGCAATTGTTTTCTATGGCTCGGAAAAAAACAATGAAGGAAACCAGGGAATACATTTTGCCGATCTCTCTTGTAAGAGGCAAGTTATTCCAGCTTTCTGTGGCTTCTAACTAGAGTATCTGATGTGATGAACGAGAGCTCACCAAAGGAGTTTCTCAAGGTTAAATTCCTCCCTTGACAGAGAGATGTACAAAGCTACCACTTTTCAAGCAGAAGTAGAGTTTGCTTCAGGTATACTCCAGCACATCCAAGAATGCAGTAAAACTTATTCTGAATGGGATCCTTATTAATTCTACGAAAAGCATTTTTTCAAACGTACATCTTTGGTAGGAAAAAACCCTACTGAGTATGTTATCTAGGAGGCATCTGATGGACACTGCAGCAGAGAAGGCTCTGATCAGAAGGCAGCATCTGAAGTGCAACAGGAAAGCTCCCGCGGGTTTACAACGGCCTTCAGATACACACCCTTTTCCCACAAGCAATGAGGAAATGTGAAGCCTGTGGTGTGACTGTGTGCTGAGTAAATACCAATAAAGCCTCCACCCACCTTTATAACAAATGGGAATAGTACTGCACAATCCCCAGAACTTCTCCACTGCCATTATATATACATACACATCTCTCTCTATACAGATAGATACACACACACAGATATAGATCTCTATAGATAGATCTACACAGATATCGACATATCTATATATAGATCTATATATCTATAGCTGTACCTATATATATAGATATAGATAGATATAGATATATATGGATCTCTCCACACTATGTGAACAATCGGACTCCCTTGTGATCCCCATTAGAGATGGGGAAACAGCAGGAAAAGGGGTTATGTGGCCTCCATAAGGACCCACAAACCCTGTGCCACTCCGGGAAGAAGAATCCAGGTCTTCTGGCTCCCAGCTGTTCAGCTCCAAGGCATGTGGGTGTCTGCAGAGGAATGGACGCTACCGCTACTAGTCTTTCACAAATTATGACATGGCTGAACAGACCTAAGCCACCGTAGTTCGGGCAATAGCCCCGGTACTTCCTGCAGTAGCTAAAGGCGCATCAGATTAAGTTTCGACGGTCATCTCTAATTCCAGCTGGTGGATTATCCCGATGCTGCTATTCGCCTCTCCTAAGAAAGCTTGCTCAGAACTCACGGCTAATCGCATGCTAACAAAACCCTTCTGAAACGACATTCTCTGCAACACTGAAGCTGGAGGTAACCTGAGCGTTGCGTTACAGAAGGCGCAGGCACGCCGAGGAAAAAGCGGTGCTTTCCAACCCGTGCGCCGCTGCACCCTGCACTGCTGCCTCAGTGGCCTCCCAAGGGTGCCACGGGCTGCCACGCACGCAGCATTAGCACCGTCAGGTGTGCAAACAGCATCCGATAGATAAGCCCAGAGAATTCAAATAAAGGTCTGTGGTCTGAGCTCTTGGCAAGAACAAATCTCTATCATTTTGCTGTAGTCAAAAAACAAAGAGGCTGAAAACGAAGAGCTGGCCTTGTCTGTTGGGTGCCGCGAGGGAAGTCCACGTTTGGGGAAGTCCCTCCATGTCTTAGCCAGTCAGCGCTATTTGACCAAGCGAGGAACTCAGCTACATGATTCAACGCTACTGCTCGGACCTAGGCTTGACTCTGAAGCCTGCGAACGCCGGGTTCGATCCTGGCTCCTGCGAAGGGGTGACGAGAGCCGGCTCGCGTTCAGCATCCTCGCCAGTGGCAAAACAGCCATGAAGACACCAAAACAGGCCTGCGCGCTGCCAGAGCTCAAGCAGGACAGAGGAACGCAGACGTCTTTCAGTGTCTGTACCGCCTGCAACGACCCCCAGGCGCGGGGCCAAGCGCCGGCCTGGGCACCCGCACCAAAGGCCCCGGCGCTGGAGGGAGCTGCCAGAAGAAGTGGGAGCAGCCCCAAGCGACGGGGAGGAGCAGCAGGAGCTGCCGGCGGGGAGCGCACCGGCGCCACAGCCCCGGGGCCGCCACTGCTTTGGGACGGCTGGGGGGGACCGGCCCAGGGGCTCCTGCACTGGGGGCCAAGCCAGCCCCTCATGCAGTGCCCAGTGCTCCCCCCCATCCCTCATGCAGTGCCCCCCAACCCCATACAGTGTCGCCCTGGAGCCCTATACAGTGACCCCATGCAGCGCCCCCACCCAGTGCCCCCCACACCCACGTGCAGCGCCGCGGCCCCACTCACCGCTGCGGGC